TGTGCTGGGCTCAGCAGGTACTTACAAGCTGTTGTACAGGGAGCTGTCTCAGTTGCCTTTGCAGTACTTTTGGTTACGCCTTGCGTTGTGTTTCTGGAATAAGATAGTCAAGTCCCGTGGGTCGGTCTATCATGACGTGTTAGTAGATGATCTCCGTCTGGCTCTTCTGTCTGATCTCAAAGTGGATTGCTGGTCGTCTAAAGTGCTCATCATTTTGCGTTGGTTGGGCCATGAGTGGCCGGCGTGTGACTCCGTTTCTCAGAAGGTAGATGTATACTCGTCTCAGTTGATTCGAGTGGGTGAGGTTCTGGAGAGGTTATCTGCGTTCCTTTTAAGTGACTGGGATCAGTTCAGCCAAGGGGGTGATCCGCGTGTGTTCCAAGGTAAAGGGGTTTCGCTTTGCAGGTATCATAACTGGATGGGCTCCCCTTCACCAGCAAGAGAGGGCTCCGATCCCACAGGCTATTTGCGTGTTTATTTGCCGGCCAACCAGTTGCGTATGGTTGCCAAATTCCGTCTTTGTTGTTGGCCTTTGGAGGTCAACAAAGGACACCATAGGCCGAGAGAGTGCCGTACGTGTCAGGTCTGTACGTCGGGTAAGGTTGAGGATGAATACCATGTGCTCATGGAGTGTGAGGCGTATACTGAGTTGCGTAATAGGTTTCTGATTAACGTTGAAGATACTGATATGCGCAAGGTATTTCTTAATACCAATCCGAGGAAAATCGCTACTTTCCTTACTGAGGTTTTTGATGAGCGTCAACAGCGTGCTCTGGAGCCTCACGGCTCGTGAGGGCACCCGCCGCGTCGGCGGCGGAAATACTGTAACCACAATACAAAGTAAGATGTCACTTTGTATGTAGCCATCTCCTTCGAACTCTTATCGTGGGCGGCTGCAAGCTTTGTCGTAAAAGTTCAACATCTGCGCTAACCTGAACTGCTGTGCTTTCGGCTGGAGCTACCTGGGCCCTGAATACGAACTGCTGCATAGAGAGCACAGGGAACGCCGTGAACGTCAGCACACAGAGCCTGTGGCATCATGACGCAGCTCAGGACGAATGCCACGTCCTCGCTGAGTGTTCTGTGTGCTTTACAAGGTGCTGTTGCGAGGGGTTAGAGAGTACAAGAGGTGTAATGGGTCCAAGGCTCATCGTTCTTCCTCAAAACAGGCATAGACCGAACAGGCGTAGTATGCATGCAGATCAACAATCAATGGGGTATCAATAATATTCTTCCTCGTGTCAAGTGCTAAACGCGATCTGCCTACTGAACGTCGTTGCTTTAGTGCAACAAAAATGCAGCTTTAGTAAGCTTTGTCTTAGTAAACGGTGTAACATTTTGTTTACACCTCGCGTTTTCTCTTCCATCTTGTTTGCCCGCCTGAACTCGAGGTGCATGAGCCTGTGGAGATCGTTATGGCTTGCAACAAAAAATAGTTGAGTGTGCCGCGAGTAAAATACTTATCCACATATCTACTTTCCCCGCGTTGGAACTTATGAAGCTGCCCTGGGATGATCGTTTCCCGTTTTTTTCGGCATTCCATCCTGAGCGGGTCTCGGAGACGATACGCCAGTGAATCCGGCGAGGGCTCCCGTCCTGGTTCCCCAAAGGCAAATCACATGCCCCAAACAACGTCAACAGATCAGGAGCGAAATCAACCTGGTCGTCAAGTGTTTGACCTGTACCGCATCGACGACAACGGAAACGAGTTTTTGATGTGCACTTTTGCCCTGCGCGGCGAAGCCGAGCGCACGCTGGTTGACTTTGAAACTAGAGGACACAAACAAGTATATTATATACGCTCGAGGTGGCTTGCTCCGCAGTTGTGACCACGACCCCAGACATGGCCGATACATCCAATGAACCGAGGACCCTTTCCCTTCATTATGGCTCGGGCACGTTGGTGGACAGGCTGGGCTACCTGACGACGACGGAAAGGGCCCTCCCTGATGCTGGCATGTCTGGCAGAGGTGAGAAGAGCCCGTGTCAGCCAGGAACTGCTGCTTCTTGAAGCTGGTGCTGCCCATCGCAGCGAGATATTCACCGGCCTGGTTCCCTTGCATGTTTGTCTTGACTAACGGTGGCTGTTGTTGCACATTTTCATTGCCGCACATCCTTACATTTTCCCCGCACCTTTCCCAATTGCCTCACGCTGCAGCAAAACAAACGTGTGCGAGCAAGCGGAGACGAGAAAAACCTCTTTCGTGCTTTCCCCCCTTGAAACCCATTAACTTCAAATAGATCCCACATTCCCACAACGGCACGGTGCACTTCTGCTGCACAGTCCCTGTAAAATGAAATTAATTTCCGCCCGTTGGAACACACACACACACACGTGCGCGCGCACACACACACACACACACACACACATACACACACATACACACACACACACACACACACAAAGGCAACTCTACAACTCTGGGCCCCCTTAACAACAGACCATCACACCAAACACGCGCAGGAATATCCCGCCGAGATGCGGGAAAAGCTCCTCCTAGGGTTTGCGTCCCCCGTGTTCGCCACCACACGATATCTCTCTATCTCCCCCTCCACCACCGGGGGACCACCGGAGCACCATCACTCGTGTTTTCTGGCTCCCTCTCGTTTTTTACCCTGTCCTTGATGGATAGGGTGACGGTACGCCTCCTCCTCCTCCACCACCTCCTCCTCCACCGCCTCCTCCTCCTCCACCGCCTCCTCCTCTACCGCCGCCGCCGCCGCCGTCTCCCTCCTTACCCACGGCCTCTTCGTCCTCCACGGTGCGGACGCAGCTCCGTAACCATCATTACCCTCCTTACACCCCGTCACATCTCACCCCCCCCCACCCCCCCGTGCACACACCTCCCGCCTAGCCTAATGAGCAACTTCCCGCCTCCTTGATAGACCAACACAACCACCATCACGACCATCATCACCACCACCACCACCACCACCACCACAACAACTCCCGCATCACGCCACCTTGTCCTTCCGTCCCCAAGTCCACATGCTGCCACCCTCCCCCTCCCCCTCCCCCTCAAACCAGCTTCCCCCGTCCCCTCCCATCCCCCCGCCACCAAAACCCAGCTGCCCGGCCCCCACCGCTCCCCACCCCTCACCGCCTCCCCTCCCGCCTCCCCCAAACCATCCCCAACCTCCTACACCGCATCCACCGCCGCCATTGGCGGTTGGCAGCATCAGCAGGCGGCGCTGTACGACATACCCTAGGAAGGCCGCACACATGAGGAGCCCCCCGAGGAAGGACGCGACTGTGGTGACGTAGAAGGCGACCACGCTATCCTCCATGGTGTTGCGCATGTTCATTCCGAAGATGCCGGCCACGGAGGTCACGAACGTGAACATCAAGGTGATGGAGGTAACCACCAGGTCGATACCCACAATCTGGTTGCGCCTGAGGCGTCGTGTGCGTGTGTATGCGTGGGGTTTTTAGGGGTTTTAGGGAGGAGAGGGGGGTTTGAAGAGAGGGGGGGTTGAGGGTTTGTTTACGTGTGCAGGGCGACTCCCTGTGGGAGCTGACGTGGCCACGTATGTGAGAGCTCTACCTGGTGACGTGATGGGTGTGTGGAGATGTGGAGGATTTGGGGGAGGTGGAGGAGGTGAAAGGAGGTGAGGGAGGTGGATGCAGACGGTGCAGTCGGGGGGCCCAAGAGGTTGAACTCAACCAGGAAGGATTGTAGGTTTGTACGCGACGTTCTGGAGCTATCCACGGTGGGTTGGGGTGGCTGCGGTGATAGTGGAGTGATTCAATTACTTCTTTTTACGGCTAAACTTTAATTGGGATTTAGTTTGCTTTCCAGTAGGATTTTAGTCTCAATAGGATATTTTCCGTCCGCACATCCAGGCCCTGCAGCACCAGAGCGAGAACATGGCTGAGAGCTAGAGACGACGTATGTATGTTTGCATGTATGTATGTATGTTTGCATGTATGTATCTGTATCCATGCCACATGGCCAAAGAGCGGCCCCCACCTGTTGTCGAGGTCGATGTTGACGAGGTCCTCCGTGTCGTCGATGCGCTCCGTTAGGGCCTCTAGGCGACCGAGCAGCGCCTCGGCCTGCGAGAGGGGAGTCGGGGGGGGGAGGGAGACGAACCACGTGAACGAGTGAAGCTGCTGCCAAGGAAGGAGTGTACAAGAAGCAGGACTGATTTTGAAGGCGGTTTTGAAGGCGGCGACCTCGGGATGATACAATTAATGATGACGACCGCGGAAACCTACCTACCTACCTACCTACCTACCTACCTAGCCGCCAAGACTAAAATAAGAGCGGAAGAAAGTGGTAAAACGAAGCCGTAAAGAAGCAAAGGTAGGTGTAGAGGTGGCGAAAAGTAGTGGAGAACTGCTGACGTGAGCTGGAAAAGGATTTTTGCCGCCGGCCTGGCGGCGGCATTGACGAAATGGGAGCTGGCTGATAAGCTGGTGATAAAGAGCTGGTGACATGCAAGTGCTCCTCCCACCACCACCACCCCCAAACACGCGCCCAACCCGACCCGACCCGGAACTATCCTAGTCCGGCCAGCCGACCGACGCCAACGCGGTAAACCGACAAAGCTCGAACCTCCCTTTGGACTCACCTGGCCAGGCAGCAGAAGTTGCGGCAAGGGCACATGCGAGGCAGAGGGGTAGCAAGGTTGTGAGCAGGGCGCGATGAAGAAAAAGCAACGCATGCGAGTGCTGCTGCAAGAGGTGTTTACTGGCAGGCTGGGGGAGGCGGAAGAAGAAATACTAGAAGAACCTAAGCGAAAGCAAAAGAAAACAACGGGGCTAAGAAGGAAAGCAAAGGCGGCGCAGGAAGACACAGCAAGTTTCGAAATTGACAACGCTATGACGCAATTGACAACGTGTACGTCGGGCTTGGGGGCCCCGAAACACACACACACACACACACACGCACATATACACGCATTTTAACCTGGAACGAACGAATGGACGAAAGATGAAGGACGGGCGGATAAAATGAATGAATCCACAAATGCACACGAAGCCACAAGCGGACAATACGTTTTTAATAACACGTGCACGTCCGTACATATGTGCGGTACGACGAACCCGGTACGGCGACACCGAAGGGAAGGCCCCGGGATGGCGACCAAGGGAATTTCCGACAATGCCTTTCGAAACGGGGTGGACGCCGCGACCAACACTGCTAACGGCACCGCGTGTATGCACATCTACAATTAAGTATATTACAACGTATTTTAAATACATGAACACGGAAATGTACACGAAGCAGAAAGGGCGCCTTCTGTGGGTTGATGGAAGGGACATCCGGACGGAAAGGACATTCAGGTTGGGTCTCTGTGTGTGTGACCGCGGGCACTCATCTCATCATCGGGCGCGCAACACAACATTTCCCCCCTGGTCCGCACGCAGGCGCGGCGCATGGGACGAAGTGAAGCTGGAAGCGCGCCATCTCCTGCAAACGCGCAATCCCTTATCCCGCATCTCTCCCTTGTATTGTTCTTAACATGTTTTATATTTTACGTGTTTATGCGCGCGTATCGTCTTGCGATACGACCCGCGCCAATGTCTTCGGCTTTCATCCTTTGCGACAACCTTTTGGTGGAGCCATGTGGCCCGGCGGGTGCGAGACACTTCCCCCTTCATCTCTCACTTGCACGTAGTAAAACTCGAGAAGGTTCTCACAGTCCTCGACATCGTGGGGTGAGGCACGTGGAACGCCGCCGCCGCCGCCGCCGCCGGCCTGCCGTACAGCCCAATCAGAGGTCGCCAGGCTGCTGCTACTGCCCGCTTCCGATTGCTCGCTGGAGTCCCCATCCTCCCAGGCGCTAGAGACGCTGGGTGATGACGGCGATGACCCGTGGGACGGTCGTCGGACGCCGTGGCCATGGCCATGGCCGTGATTGGTATGCTGCTCCCGCCGGCGATGGTTGGTAGCCGCCGCCGCCGTCGCCGCCGCCGGCTCAAGCTGAACGGGTTCATACAGCGACGACGGCAGCCGGGCTCTTGCAAGGTGCTCGGGGACTTCCACATCCACCACCACCGCTGGCGGCGGTGATGTCGGCGCTGCCTCACTTTGCTGCGGGGCCGCACGGAAAGGCGGGGACACAGAGGTCAACGCTGACGACGGGGCGGCAGCGGCGGCGGCGGCGGCGGCGGGCGCCACCGGCTGCGGCCCCAACCCCGCCATTGTCGGCAGCAGCGGATACATCTCCAAATGCGGGATTGGTGCGGGGGCCTTCTCCAGCACCAGCGTCGGGGCCGGCGCTGGGCCCGATGTCACATTGGTCGTCAACGCCTTTGTCGTTGTCGTCGTCGTCGGCGGCGGTCCAAAGC